CCATGATTTTCGAAATGGACAAGCAAATACCAGACTTACAATTTCACGTAAACAGATATAAATCTCTTTTGTTTCTAATCGGTCAATTATATAAGATAGAATATAATTGGAAATAATTTAAAAAGTAACATCTGTTGTAATGCTGTACCAACAATTTTACCCTTGTTTAAATGTTTTTTTCCGTATCACTGGTGGTTTATTTGATTTATCATTAATACCATATTCAAATGATAATAACCGACTTTCAATTTCACTATAAGCAAGGATTCTTTTTGTTGAAGCTTCTTTTAACATAGCCATTAATAATTGTCCACAAACTCCTAAACAAAAAAATAAAAAATCTTTTTTTTTTGTAAACTAAGTTCCTTTTTGTACACCTTCATTAAAGTCGTGCATTAGATCGTTGGGGAGGGAAATAACAGCATGAAAACCTATTAGGTTTGCTAATGGACTTGCATCGACAACACCACGTAGTACAATATTATTATTTGAATTGATTATTTGTTGAACTATATTATCATGTTGATCTCTCATTCGACAAGGATGAGAAATTTGATTCAAAGGAACAAGTTTTTGATCATAATTTACATGACAATGTCTGAAAAGTTCTCCAGTGTTGAAATTTTTCTGAAAACCACCTATATCATTAGAAGCTAAATGATCACCGGCTAATACTGTAAATGTAAAGTTCAAATAATCACCGAGAGTTGGAATAAAAACACCAGTCGTCTGTAAGACATTAAGATCTTCAACTATTGGATCAAAAAAATTTTTTCTATTTAACTTGTTAGATAAATAATTTGAGTGACACATTGCAACAAGTCCTATGGAATTTAACATTGATTTAACTATATCAGGTAAATCTTCTAACTGAAAATAGATCATAGTGATTTTTTGGATGTCTTTCTTAGCACCTATTGGATTTGTCAAACTTATTTCATCAATATATAATTGAAATAATAGTGCATCAGGTTTATTTTTCAAAACGGTATGTACTTTTCCATGTAATGCATGACGATAGTTAAACATAAGATCTGTATCAGCCGCATTGCGATTGACATTTTCATTAAAATTTTTCTTTAACATAGTTAAAACATCATATTTATTCAACATTTGCTGGATACTGGATTGAATTGGTATATAAAATGCTTTCTGATCGGCATTTTCAAACTTTATTTCTTTAGGTGATGTATAAGAAAATATTTTTTACAAAGTTTCACAAATCTATGTTCGTTCCTTGTAATACCTGTTATTCGTTCTATCAGATTATTCACAAAGGGTGCTGTTGCACCCAAAGAGAGGGAATAAACACAAAATGACTAAATATTACGTGAATTAGAAGAGCATTAGGGAACAAATACACAACCATGACTATATAGATAGCAGATGTTGTAAGAGTTGAGAGTGTAACGGTATAACGTATTTTTTGTTATTGAAAATAAAGAAAAAAGACTTATTGTAGAAATTCATGAATTTTCCACTTTATTTGAAAACCATCATCAGATGAACTACTAAATCAGATACCAACTAAAAACAAACAAGTTGCACAATCTTACATACTTATAACAAATTCATAACCATTTTCATTAATATCATAGTAGACTTCAATAATATATCCAACATGACCTGTATTAGATATTACTATATATTATAATGTTTGTTATAAGTGCAATATTAACAAAGAAATTAAATATAATAAATTAATTAATACAAGTTGTTTGTTCTTAGTTGGTATTTAATTTAGTAGTTCATCTGATGATGACTTTCAAATAAAGTCGAAATTTCATGAATTTCTACAATAGATGTATTTTTTTCATTTTCAATAATGGAAAATACATTATGTCATTATACTCTCAATACGTACTATATTTGTTATTTATTTACACATTTTTTTGAAAACACAAACGATACTGCTCAATTAGTTATTTTATTTTGTTACAGCGATGGATACTCAAAGTGGTCAAAAAAAATCAAACGTCTTTTATATACAGTTTATATAATATTTGAAATAACTTCATTCATATCACTTAATAAAATAGAGTCATCTGTAACTGAATTAATAACTGTATTCTGATATTTGATCGATGAATTTCTATTTTCCATTTTCAATAATTCATGAATTAGTTCTATCAAAGATTTAAATCCTGATGTAATTGTATGGATTATATTTTGTTGTAAAGAACGGCCTTCTCTAAGATTGAGCAAAAAATCTACGTAAAAATTTTCGAAGAAGTCTAGATTTATTTTTTTTTCTGATGATCGACTTACCTTTTCCATTAGTAATGGCCAACATATGACATCTTCATCATCTGTTTCTCTCTCTGTCTCATTTTGTTCTTCTTCTTCATCATGCGTTTGAGTATCACAATTTGATCGTGTATCATAATTTGTCGACAATAATGTTCCATCATTATGAGTGTTTATACTAGGTTGTATTCTTTGTTTATATAAATCTTCATCAACAAGGTCTTTATGCTCTCTATGTGAAATCGCCGCCTGCAAACACTTCATATATATGATGTTACCTAGATTATCGAGGTTGAAATCACGCTGAGACGTTTAAATACGTTACTATCGTAAAGCCTGCTATACAACAAGCTTATTTTATTTCATATGATCCTAGCTCCAACTTTTCATGTAATCCAATCTGGCCTGTGGATCTTATCGAAATCCATCGGATCCAATACAGGATTTCTCTGGAAAGCGATGTCTTCCGTTAAAAATCGATCGGATCCGATTCAGTTTGTGTCGGATTCTTATGCACAGGATTCCGAACCGGATTACGTCGAAAAAGATACCATTGGATTCGTTCAAAACGGACAATCGGACCACGTCGTATCCGCTTAGAACAGTCTTTTGAAAAAATCCGGATATTCCTAGGTGATCTAGTCTGACATTTGGATCTTACCGGAAATCATCAGAGCCAATATCCGATTGCTCCAGAAGCCAGCGACTTTCGTTACTAAAAATCGATCGAATAACGTTGCATCCACCCAGAACTGCCTTTTGGAAAAATCCAGATATTGCCAGATTCTACATTGTAATAAAAAGAGCTACTTTTCATTTCCAAACAGAAAGAAAGGAAGCTTTAAGTAAAGTAAAATTTTCAAAATTTTGTTTGATTTATAGATGATAATTTTATTACGTTTTAATCAAACGATCAAAATTTATATTTAACTTTTAAAAATTTGATTATTGAGAACGAGTATAGAAAGTAAATTCTTTCAAAAGATTTTAATAAAAAGTTATTTTATTTTAGCTAAGTATGCTGCAATTTGTAGGGGACGTTAGGTATTTGTTCAACGAAGATTTTCGTTTGAACTTAGCTACAAAGAATTTTAATGCAAGTCAAAAAAGAGATGTACTAGCTGATTTGCTTTTCTTTTATTATTAATAAACTAATACTCATAATGCACGAGCAAAGGGTCATCGATTTGGGCTGAACTAAAAACGATTTAAATTAAAGACAAAGCGAGTTTTTAAGGAGATTGCATCATAATTTGTTGTAATAATTCGATATTTATTTCGAATGTAGCGTGGGTGAATCGGACTGCGTTCGTCAAGTGAAGATGCTCATCAACATCTATATTTCTAAATAGTCTTTTCTAGAACATCATTTTTGTCTATTATTGATTTTTGTTTATAAATGCTTTTGTACCCCAATCAGTTGTCTCCATTCAATGTTTGATTCCATTTTATAATCATAATTATATGTTCTGTTTAAAATCAAAAATAGCTGATGGCATTCATAGTAACAATCATGCCTAACAAATTCTTTAAATTGCAGTCAACTAAGAATAAAAAAAGCACTATTATCTCTTACCGCACTCTAAAAATTAGAGATCATTAAATTGAAATATTGAAACTCAGCATTTAGTGAACTCTGTATATTGTAGTAATTAAAAAGAAAAGAAGTACCATTGTAGTTTAGTGCTCTCTACAAATTGCAGCTTGTTAAATTGAAATAACGAAACTCAATCTTTAGCGAACTCCATAAATTCCAGCAAGTTTACAAGAAATATATCTGAAAGTTTAAGCTATATTAAAATTGTTATCAGTAATTTTTTTTTTTAAATTTGAAAACCGAAAATTTGAGACGTAAGATTGTTTTCAACTTGAATAAATTAAATTTAAAAACAACTGCAATTGAATTTAACTGATTTGGAACTTAGATTTTATGTTCGCAAATGAGAAGACACGGTGGAACTCACGTATATCCTTCAACCTTGTTTTCCTAATACATCATCCGTAAACCGAAAGATTTCTTGTCGACTATAGTTGTTTTAACTAATAATCGATGACGAGAGCGAGAATTTATTATTTATTTCTACATTTAAAATAGAAATTTTTTATTTTTTTCTACGGGTGCCCTATTTTTTGTTTGCATTTGTTAGCGTCAGTGATGGATCACACTAACGCTAAACGATGATTAAGATGTGCCTTCTAGTCTAATTGGCTTAGGACAACTGCCCGGATAGCAGAAGGTATGGGTTCGATTCCCATGAAGGTCATCTTTTTCATCGTTCTGTCACATAACATCAGTGACACTGCTTGTCTCTTTCGTTCTATACATATGAGAGCTAACAGCATTGTTGCTGTTCGCTCACTATTTTTCATTCTTTTTTGATTCGTGTTTTTTTAATTTAATATTCTTTTTATTATAATCATTGAATGGGCAAATAAGTCTATTTTACATATCCATGATATGTATGGCAGATTTTACGCACTATTATATATATTAATCAACTCACAAAGAATAATATTGACTAATCTTCAAAATTATAACTTGAGCAATTTTTCAAAAAACTCTAGAAAATCTGACACCTTTTATCTTCCATTGCTAAAATCTATAATGAGGGCCTCGTTGCTATGGTCTGCAATATGGACCTGTCTGTAAGGGGAACAGTGAGGGGAACCTGCGAAACTTTGACCTTGAATCTTACGCTCACGATTTTCTTCAAAAATATACGTGAGTTTCACGAAACTATCATAGCTATTTTAAAGATTTGATAATTATTTTGAAGAAAAATATATACAGGTTTTAAATAGCTTAAATAATCGATTTTCTCGAATGATGATTTCTATTCATTATTTTTATCTGTCTTTTTAATTTATTATACCATATCTTCCATCTTTTTTCTTGATAGCATTTAAAATTTTTTATAATGGCTGACTTTTCTTTTACTGACATTGAATACCTCTTAGATTTTTTTCATTGTCTCACTGATAAACAGAAATAGGACTATTAGAGAAAAAACAGACATAAGTAGTGAGAGTAATGTGAGGGCATATAACTAACATGTCTTTCAAAAATATAATTCAGGCGCTCATAAAAAATTGACATTTTTTGAAACTTAAATTTACTGTGTTTTCACTTATTTTAAAATCCAATCCTAATGAACATATGCTTACATATTGTAACATTATTAATCTATGATACTCAACTAGAGATCGTCATCAATATAGGATACCCTGGCATGATCTCCGAGTAAGGCAAAATTACTTTGTCCTGCTAACGTTGTTTTTTTACAAAAACGCATGTAGTATCATTTATCAAATTTAAACATTTATCTATGATTTCATATTTTTGATCAATTTCATTAAAATTCATCATTGTTTAGTACGAACACTTGTGATATCGAAGTTATTGAATACTTGTTATCAAGTTATAAGCATATCTAGTAAATAATAAAAACATCAATCTCGAACTGCTGATAAATGGTGATGAAAGAGTTCCACTCAGTTAAATGATAATACTCAGTTTGAAAGAATTTCTCTTTTCATTGATGACTATTTTGTTTGTCTATGAATATGCTACTAGTTTCATACAAGCATTCTGAAAAAGACAAATTGTTTCAATAAAAACGCTTCTTTCTTCATGAAGAATAAATTTAACTGAGGCTTTTCACTTGATTATAATCTAATTTTTTAGTCGTTCAGTTTCAGTTTTTATATTACCAAGATTTTTTTTTTCGGAAGTCTTTCTAATCGATTAAAAAGATTGTTCAATGAATTTTAATTGATAGAAGAAATTTGCGAAAAAAAAAGATCCTCGAAATTAGAAAAAAGTCCAAAGTATGAACTTAAAATCTGATTAAAATAAAATAAAATCGAAGTATTTTAATCTAGTTTGCATAATATTCTTTTCGAACTCTATCTTATATTCGTCTATACGGTTCCCAATCTTTTGTGAAACAATACTTATCTATTGAGATGAATTCTTCGAAAAAATAACAAAAATATATTGAAACACGCCTCAGGTTTTGCCTTAGAATCTTTGAGTGCCCATCCAATTTTTAAATTTGAATTCATCTTGATTTTTAATTTACTAACACATAAGAACCAAACATGTGTCTTACTAACAATTGAGTGATACGACTTTTCAATCAAATTTCTTGCATGGGGTGTGGATGTGGATCTCGATTTCCGTAGAAACTAAAGTGGATAATTCTAAGATGAAAATAACGTCACTATTCTATAGTACAATTGAACGACAGAATTCTGCCTAAAAAGAAGAAAATCAGAATTCTGTTTGAGTTCGACTTCTGGTTGAATTCTCTTGGAGAAACAAAATTCTGTTCAGTATCAGTAGGCTAGTGTTTGTCTTGAAGCATTATTCTGCTAGAAAATTAAAATTCTAGCTGAATTATGGTTGTATGATGGCAGCGAATTCTATAGAAATTTATGCATAAAAGCGGAATTCTTAAATTCTGCTTATGTAGAACTCTGTCTGTTCTCCTTAAGAGCGCTGATTCAGTATTATGTTTAAGTGAAGTATTTATTTTACGTCAATCTCAATTAAATATTTGTCGATCTTTCTTAAATGTTCTTCATACAAAATATGGAGAACAATGTCTTTCTTATACTATTCATGCAACAAAACTAATTGATCCTAATTTTGTTCTGACTAAAATAGCACTTTCATTACTTCTTTTCTCGACAAATATTTGTGTATTTTCTTCAAAATTACAAGAAGAACATGTTGATGCAAATAGAATTTTTCCAAATTCAAAATAGATATGCCGAAATAACATGGACATATCTTCTATATAGATATGACCATCATGATGTTGTTTGGAAATTTGTTAATTTCATTCAATGTCTTCTTGTTGTTATTCAAACATAGTTTCATCTTCAAAATGTCCAACAACATGTTAATGATGTTCTTACACTTGTTGAAAATACTGAATTGAAACTCAGTTTAGATGATATTGATCACATTGATCAAGCAATAATTAATTAATTCAGTTTTATCAAATTTATACCAACATAAAACTATTCTATGCGATTTATTCTTATGATGTTGTGCCAATAACTGTTGTTCTTGTTTGTTTTGTTTTGCTGTTCTTGTCTGTGTACCAATAGATCGCCACGTTTATTGAGAATATATATACTGAATGGCATAGAAAGATAAATGAAGACTTCGATTAGATTCTCATTATTTTTTATAGAAAGAATCTTTAAAGATTGAGAAAAAGTTTTTAAAATTGAATTCATGTAAATAAGAAAGATGACTAAATCATAAGTGATACATATCAATTATATTATATATCGACTTGTTCAAAACTAACACTGTTACATTTTTAACATATTTTTGTCAATTATCTCGAAAACTGTGAGAGCTAGAAGGGTGTGGGTGGGGTATGGGCACTCTTTCCTTGTACACCCGCACTCCACACCCAACAAATGTTAATTGAATTAACTGCATTTCCAGAAAAAAAATAAACAACGTATTTTAGAAATTGGTATGAAATATTCTATTGTGAATGATTTCACATCCATACTTGTCTTAGAAACATTACAACAACACATTGAACATAATATATGTTCACATCCATCACGTAAAACATTATACAATGATTATATAAAGTACCAACAAAATAAAACACAACAAGAATCAACAAAAAGTCAAGCTAAACTAACAGCTGTCTTGAATCTATGGCAAGCACGTTGCACATGGTACGATAGAACGATAACGAACAATGATCGTACAAATGCATTCAAAAAGAGAGGAACTTCTAGTTCACATCATATGAATGTACATTTGATGTCAAGAACACGAGCTCGATCATATTTTAGCATGGTTATAAAATCTCGTCGAGCAAGACGGCAGTCAATAGAGGAATACATGGACGTTGAAAGATCAGAATCCATGATTTTGGATCAATCTCTTCAGCGAGAAATATTACCACTATTCGAATCATTCTCCTTCCTATCGAGTAATGATGCATAATTAGCTTGCGATGATGAAAATGAAGAGGACTCTTTCGACGATGATAGATCTACTACTTCCAATCATAGCAATACTACTACTAGTACCCATTCAATTACTCTTCAAAACTGGAATCCACAAACATCTTACATGGACAAAATTAGATCAACCACTAGTTCACAAACAGCTTATCAAATTTATTTAGATGAACGTCAATCATATTCAAAATCATCATCGTTCTATTTTGATATAACATCTTATTTTTTCTCAAAAGTACGTTCGTCAATATCGAAACCATCATCAATTGAAACATTTAACAAACATTATTCAATTTCCATTTTTTGCATTAAAATATTTTCACATAATACTGATCGCAATAGTGGTAATGATTCCAATGTAAATAATTATGAACTTTTAGGTTTATGTATTTTAACAAATGTATTAGAACTAGAATTAGAATTACTACAACTATTACGAACAGTTGCTTGTAAACTTGTCGAACTTGGCCTTCTTGGTTTAGCTAAGAATATTTTTCGACACATTGTTACTTTAAGATCGGACGAGCCACAATCATTTCATGACCTAGCATTATTATTGCAGGGATCTAATGTTCAAAATAAGACCATTACAGAAATATCAGATCTATTTAAGAATGTTATATTTGGTGAGTGGAATAATCGTTTTGTTGAAATTGAAGTTACAACATTACACGAATTTAATTGGTTTCTATTCGAATATCATCAACAAAAAAAATATCGAATTCAGTTGATCAACGTCTCATTCGACATTTATCTGTTGGCTTAAGAATAGTTATGGTTTGGGATACAAATGATTCAGATGTTGATTTACATGTCATTGAACCAACAGGTGAAGAATGTTATTATTCTCATAAAAATACAGCTATTGGTGGTATGATAAGTCGTGATTTTACCAGTGGCTATGGGCCAGAAGAATATCTAATTCGAAAGTCAGTCAAAGATACATATACAGTTCGAGCAAAATATTTTGCTAATCATCAACAAAGTCTAACTAGTGCAACAACAATCATGGTATATATCTATAAGTATTATGGTCAAACGAATCAGCAAAAAGAAATTGTAACACTACGATTGAGTAGTAACTAAGAAATGATTGATGTCTGTAAAGTGGTGTTTGATGATGACGTCAAACAAAAATCAAAAAATAAAGTAACGCATGATCAAAAATTGAATACGTCTATTCATTCGAATGCTATTTGTGATGGATATGATACATCACCAATAAAAGGAGATAGTTATAGATGTTTATTTTGCCCAGATATTGACTTTTGTCAATCATGCAAGTCGGCTAGTGGAACAAATTATGAGTCAAATCATCAGTACAATCATCCGTTACTATGCATTAAAGATTCAAGTGAATATTCAGAATCATTTTATTTATGTAATCGTACTGATATCAATCATACAAATATTCAATGCGATTCGTGTTTTATGATACCGATTATAGGTATTCGTTATCAGTATAGTTGTGGAATAAATTTATGTGAACAATGCGAATTTACGGGTATACACGATCAAAGTCATCATCGTACAAAAATAACTGATCCAGTATAATTCCATTCAATTTTTGACTTGTCACATGTTCATCAAATTGACTTCTATTTAATGATTCATTTTCACTACATATGAAAATTATTTAATTACTTGATTTTATCTGCTTGAATAAATATACTTTTCGAAAACCTTTAAATAGAATGTGTCCCCTAAACTTTCAATTTTTATAGCGCTTCGTTCTCAATTAAAACTGAGCTATATGTAGAGGATGTGGATATTGATATTCACTTTTCTAACACCTACACCAAAGCCTACACTCTACATTCATGTCCGCATCCATAAGAGTTCACTATCTGTACATTGTAAAATTTGAATTAGATAAATAAAAATATAAAGTGTCTGATTAAATGAAATCTTTTTTAAGTTCAGAAAAAGTAGCAAAAGCATTCTTCAATACTTTTGTTGTTCGGAAGTTTTGTGGTCTCTCACAAACATTTTCAATCAAATTCTTTTATACGTCTTTACACTAGACATTTTACTATTTCTAACAAAAAAAAAATTGATGAAACTTCTAGGATGTTCCACTACAGCACTATATCAAAAAACGAAATTAATACAGAACTTTTATCGTATTCGTTAACTCATCCAGAAAGACTGACTTTTTTTACCGATAAGAAGAATGGGCTGATGGTTCATACCTGAAACAAAGTATGCAAAAGAATAGTTTTGATGTATTGTGATAGGCTTCGATATAGAAATGCAGTGTTTCTTGATAAATGAAGAAAAAAATATGCTTTCGACGAAATATCTCCCTACTGGCTGAGTCTCGTTTTATATAAATAAAACGATACCTATTTCAGAGTTTCCTTTTTTTTTTTATTAACATGGTGACAACATTTCCTGAAAAAATAAAGGCAATGATGAAGATACATCTTGAAAGCAACAAAAATCAATATTGCTTATAGCTTTTTTTTATGTTTAGATTTTTCGTATGAATAAACATGCTTATTTTGATATGTGTCACATGTACGGAAGATACTTTCAATGGACTAGGTACCTAGGTCGTTAGTCGACAAAGCACGTCACCAATAAACTCAGATATAACACAGATGATAATACCATTACTAACTTGGTTTTATAGAAAAACATACTTTGTATAACATAAGAGTGCGGGTGGAATGTGGGTAGTCTTTTAATGCACACCGACGTCCACACACCCATCCACCTACAACCATACATACTCAAACCCAACTACAACGCAGTACTCACTAAATGACAATGATTTAGTGTGGTAATAGAATAAAAGTTTTATAATATTGTTTCCTTTCCAATTTTTGTCATGAAAATATTATGAACATAAAAGCAATGAAGTTCTTTTTTCCATGATTATTAAATTTAATCATAGAAAACAGTGTTTTTGAAATCTTTTTTTTTAACTTTTAATCATAGAAAGTCTGCTGTATATAAGACAGAGAGCGAGCCGAACCAGATTTTTTAGAATAGAGTTCGGTTCGGTTCGAGTTCATTTTTGAAAAAAAGTGATTCGAATTCGGATCGACTCGTCTTTGAAAAATTAGTTCGGATGCGGTTCGATTCGAGTAGCTGTAGTTCCACATGATTGAGAGTAGACTATAGGTTAAAACTTATTTCTTAGATGATCAGAGATGTTACATTAGAGTGGATTATTTGCATGAATTAAAGCTAATTCATACATTTGTTGATTAAAATAAATTTTTAATATTAATACATGAGAACCAATAGTTTTTTAGTGTCGACATTTTAATCTTACACCACTATTTACGAGTATTCATCACATCAGAAAAATAGCAACATTTACGAAAGACAAGAATAAAAGAATTATACTGCATACAAGTGATCCATCATCATAAACACAATTAGTGCAACTCTTTTGAAGAGAAAAGAGAGACTACTATAGACGAAGATTAAATTAAGCATATAAACAATCAATAAAAGTTCGTTTTATCTCTGCCGACGGCATCATACTTTTTTCAATTGATGATAGTTCAATCAACCATTTTTCATGTAAGGTTTGACTGTGTACAACTATCTTTCAGAAAGCTAACTCGAGTTCAATTCGGTTCGTTTTTGATCTCTGATATGAACGATGAACATAAGAAACTTAGTTATTAATCAATTTCTTCATATGATCTGGATTTTCCTTGATTTCAATATAGAGGTAACATTAGAGTTAATCATGCCAGTGGAAACTTTTATATATTCATAACTAGAAAACATAAAATATATGTCTTGGTTATAAAGAGAATCTATGATAGTGTAATTAAAAAAATTACAAAAATAAATCAAATTGTTGCTAATCGTTTCGTAATAAAAAACAAGAGAATTTTGTTTTTGATAGAAATAAGATAGAGAGCTGCAGTTTTTACCATTGAAAAGAAGACATGAAGACATATTGAATTATATATTATAGAACTAAGATTTTAGCTCGATCGACAAAACGAAATTTTTGAAAAATTTATTGAAAATCTACCGCGAGACGTATACTCTTGAAAATCAAAAATCTATTCTTTTTATCTTGTGTTAGCCAATGAGTATTCGGAAAAGATTGCAATAAATAAATAATAATGCGATAGGATAGAGATCAATAATAGTTCTTATATATAAGAAAGACTCATTTATTCTTCAATTCATTAAATAAGACCTTATGTTATCTATTTATTCTACGTTAAACATATATAAAGCAGATGTAACTCAATGTATAGATTTTTTATTAAAAACTATAAAACTAATCTTGCTTAAATAGATTTAATGATTTTTCATTGATATATGATTCTAGTCTAAATGTAATAGTAATCAGTTTTTACTATTAATTGAGACATTTAAAGTCTAATGAATTTCAATAACAGGTAATAACATTTTTGATTGTTCATCGTCTAATATTTTATTTTCTTCAATAATCAGTGATGATTGTATCGTTGTCGATGAAATTTGAGGACCTTTCTCAGAACTTTTCAAAAGAAGCATTTCACAATCTCGAATGAAAAACCATCCACCATGAATAACAAGAATATCAGTAATTATCTTCTTTTGACGTGTATCTAACAAATGAAATCCAGTTCTATTCGGTATATTACTAGCAATAACGAATAATGCACCTAAAATCATTGTAGAGGCTTTAATCCAATTTTCAATATTTAATGGACTTAGTATTTTTTTTCTTTCATTCCATCTTAATTTTAATTTATTTTTATCCATATTAAATATAGCATGTGGTACGTTTCTTTGTGCGAGATGTCGCTGCCATAGGTGATTTATCATTCCAGTACTCATTCCAGATAAACAACCTGCTAGATAACGTGTGATTCCATGTATAAGTAGAAGATGAGGTTCAGTTTCGTTGATTGATGATGAAGTAATTGTTTCATTTCTTTTCTCATTTTCTATTGTGTTTGACGTAGAACTTTCGACATATCTGATAAATAATTCACTATGAATAAGATAATAAAAAGTAAATGTCTCCCACATGAAATTAAGTACAAGAGCATTCAATGGATCTAATATAAAAAAACGTTTTAAACTATTCCATCTTGATTCAGCATGTTGTCGTCTGTTTCTCATTTCTGGTTTTGCTATATAAAATCCATGAAATAATTTCGTACTTAAAGCTATACCAGTTCGTGAAGAATGTGTATGAAGATAACCAGCAGCTAATTGACCAAAAGCTGTTGCCATTATTGTAATCAATGATTTTGTACCGAACATAAGAGCTGTTACTGTAAAAAATATTGGTACTGCAGAAAATGATCCACTGTAAGCAATGAAACCCATAACAATACCAGAAAGACATGTTTGTAGAATGCTTAATCCTTTTGATGGAGGAATAATATTAGTGTTGTTTTTCTTTACTACCGATTTGTCCTTATTTGAATCCATTATCTACAAATAAAGAAAAAAACGGATAATGATTATGAAAGGTAAATAAATAACCCGAAGAAAAAACCAGCTTTCTCTCCTTGTCTTGCTTGTACATTGATGTACTCAATCAAGCATGAATGTATCGACTTATTTCTAGAAGTGTTATGCGTATAAAAGTGATTCATGCGCGTCAAATATAGTCACGTGTCTTGAATAGGATATTTGTCATCATATATGACAGCTTCTTGAAAAAGTATTTTCCTAGCGTCTGTTTAGTACTGACCTACGATCATAGGATTTTGTACAAGATGAATGTTTCTAAAGCATAGTATTTTCTTTGAAAAATAGCAAAAATCTAGGGGTCTTTACATATTGCTGTTAATGAAATTTTCGATTTAAATGACACTGACACGGAGTGTGGGTGTGGGTGTTGATCATCTCTTCACTCTCAACCACACCTACACCCTGAAAAATCAACAAACTACCATTCACTTTTTTTTACAAAAGCTTTGCTATGATGCTACAATCATCTTGATATAAATTACAAGGCAAGATGATATCATCTGACTTGAGGGTTCGACCGTGAATCCAAATTTCTTTATTCGTTTCATGTCAACGATCGATGCTGAAAAAAATTCCCACAATGATATTCTTTCGCTTGAATCTGTTGATTAATAATTTAGAAATAAATAGGAGATCATGACAGGATGTATATATTAGTAAAGCAATGTAGAAATGATTTGTTTTTGATTCTTATTTACGTGAATAAAGAAATATATATAAATCCTAGTTCTACGCCAAACCGGATAAGAGAAAAACTGTTTCTAGTCCTATTGATTGACGAAATATAATATTTGATTTTTGCAGAAGAAATTTGAATTTTTTTCAATGACTTGTTGTTGTCTATGTCACAAATAGTCATCTATCAGAAATTCCCAATCATCCATGTTAAGCAATTCTTAGATTTAATGTTTGTTTTGTTAATGTACTTAACCAACAAACAAAAACGAAACTATTAGTACATTCTTTCGAGATGATTGTTTTAAATCATAAAAACCTTCGATAATCAAAGATGCCTTTGTGTATGAAAAATAAACTATTTTTCTATGTATCAATAATATATGACTCAAATGGAAATGGTTGCGTGTGAAAATCTTTCTGTACAATAAATAGAAAATTGATTTAATCTTAGAACGATATTATTAATAAATGACTTGTTTCGAACTATCAGAAATAGGGATTATTGTAAAAAAAACAAGCACAGTAATTGCTAATGGAATAAATATTAAAATATGTACAACGAAAAACATAGATTTATTTTTATTTATTTATCATAAGAAATTTTTCTATAATAGCTAAAGCATTTGTTTAATGATATGAATGATAGTTATATGGAAATAGAAAGTCTCCTAAACGAAACAAATTTTCTTGTTATTACTATTGCTATTGTTGAGCAAACGACTTCAGTAGATAGTATATTTTTACTACTACAAGATCTTGTTATACTCTGCCTGTAAGAGAAATTTATTTGTTCAAAAGTTCACTTTTTAGAAATGAACTGTTAGCAAAATCTTCGTTCCGTCTTAAGAATGATATTTTAGTAAAATGACAAAGATTTTTCATAGCTAAAATTCCTTCCTCCAAAAAGAAAACATATATTGCTCCGACAGAAGAGAGAACATACTCGATAATTCCTCAGATCCAAACTAGAATTAACATCATCGATCTCCAATTTTTATTGTTGAAATTTTTCGAAAATAGATAAAATGTATCATTCTTACACTAACAGTTATTAGAAATCATTTTTCTATTATCTTCCAGAACAAAAATATGTTTTAAAAAATTTTTTTGTTTATCTTGATGTAAGAAAAAAAAAAAGGATACGAATAAAATTTTTCGAAAATTGATGATTTGTATTATGGTAATAAAAAAAAGTAACATCAATTTTTCGCCTGCATGAGAATTATGCTTTCACCGAAAAATATCATTTTACACTTTCATATATCACAATAACACATAATAATCATCATTTCTCAAATACAAAAAACAAACAAAAAACTTTTTATTGACATTGTTGAGCAACTTCATCCAAAGCATTTTTAATCAATTCTAATGAGAATGAACCTTGAATCGGTTGAGCAATATAACTAAACTTTTTCATAGGATCAATAACATAAAATCGAATTGGCCATGGACTATAAACTTGACTAAATGGATTATTTTTTGATACTGGATCGATTAATAATAGTATTCGATATTCCGTTGCTTTGATAAAATCATTTGCAATACGAATTCGATCATCATCACTTTTTGGTTGAACATAACATATTCGACTACCAATAGGTCTATTTTATTCAGTTTAAAAATTATCTGTAAAAACAAAATATTTTTTTTTTTTGTTAACTTACCATTCATCAACTGCATGAGCGTCTTCAATATAAACAGTTATTATATCAACACTATCTTGATAGAAATCCATTAGTTGATTAAGTTGTGGTACAAGACCATGAAATGGTGGTCAAGTATATGAACCAGCCATAATTAATAATGGTCGATTGGAATGAAAATAAGATAATAATGAAACAAATTCATTATTCATATTTAATAATTGAATATCAATAGCCGAATCATCAATACGAAGATTTCCTTGTTTTTCACGATTATGTCGAACATAAAGAGATAAATTATGAAATTCATTATCATGTGAGTATAATTGATGAACACTACGGAATATCCTAGAATATAAATAAAATATTCACATATAAAATCAGATCATTTATTAAATCCACTTAATCATTATTTTTAAGAGAAAGTTATATGAGACTTCTGAATATAAAAAAAAATTATTGATCGATTTTAACTTTCAACAGTCGAAGTCGATACACAACTATTCATTATTGAAGTCTAATAATAATCGGAAAATCTTTACTTCAATTTTAGATACCTAATAATATTTGTAATAAAATAAAATGTGTCACTCACATTCTGTGAAATAATGAGCAAAAGAAAAATCCCATCATGATTTTAGCAAGAAACTCTATTTAATCAATGAGATAAAATATTTACCTCAAACCGTATTGAATTTCATCTTCTGTTGCATTTTTAATTAATTTAGTTTGTAAATCAGCTATAATATCCATCCAATCGATATCTTTTCGGTCTTCAATACTTGATAATAATTGTTGAGTTTCTTGAATAAGTAAATCTTTAAGTACATTATGTTCTAATAATCGAAATACTTGTAATTGTTTTTGGAGAGTTGATTGTCATTGTGCATTTAAAAAATCATCATCATCTTCATTATCAGCAATGTCCGGTAAGATAATATTTTTTAAATATGGAACATCATCAGATGTATAGACATTTTTGAATTCATTAAATAATTTTGAAAGAAGAAGTTGTCCTTGTAAAACAAAATTTTGTAGTTTCACAGGTAATAAATGTGCAGGATGACTTTTATGTTTAAATTTAAATGCCAGAATATTTTTTATTACTTTGACTTCTGCTTTTGGTAAATTTTCAAAATCTAGTCGACCACTAGTAAAATTATACATTCCACCTCGTAAACATACAGATATATAAAGCACAGCTTCCTTTTGTATATTATAGGCTGAAAGAGTTCTGCTGTCTTCCAGATGCCATCTAGAAGAGAATAAATTTTAATCATCACGAGGAATTCCTTTCTTGTTTTGTATCAATGCTTTCACTGTAGCTATATCCATGCAACCACTGACTTTTAAAAGAATCGTCTTTCCAGTAGGAGTTTTTACGAAAATTTTAAAGTCAAAAGTAGATTCGGTAGTATCAGTCTACGAAAAAATTATGTGATGTAAAACGAAAAAAAAAAATTATAATTTACTTTTTCTGGCAAAACTTTTGCTATGATGATACAATTATTTTGATATAATTGACATGACAAAATGATATTACTTGACTTCAATGTTCGACTTTCATTTCAATTTTGTTTATTCGTTCGAGAATCTTGATCTACTATAAATGATTTGAGTTCGATGTTTGGAAGTTTTTGAAGATTCTCTAATTGCATTTGAATCTTTTCTATATTATCCGTTAGGAGGATAGGTAATACGAATTGTTCACATGGCATATGTTCACAATGTTCTATTAAGATATTCAATACGCCATATGTAATAAATTGATAACCATTTGGATATTCAGATACAGATGATTTCAATTCAGAATCATCCAATGGCGAGATAACATTTTCATTCTTTTTTCCAATTTTAATTCATTGTTGTAAATATTTTGGTACATACGTGTTCTTGTACTTTCTAAATAATGTACTGATCAATTCATGGTCCATATATGTATCAGTCATTGGATTTCCATATGAATCAATAATTATTATTGAACGTGATTTTATTTCCTTTCGGATCTTTTTCTCATTTTTCCATCGATCATCAAGATACTTTACGGTTTCGATCATTTGATTTTGAATAGCTTGAACATGAAAGATTAAATCCTCGTAAACAAATGAGGTTAAATCTGTTGATATAACAGTAGTCGATGTTGCTATGGAACTACGTCGATGAGCTATTTTATTGCCCATCTGTCGATGAGTAGATATCTAAAATTAAAGAGATCGCAATAAACTAAACAAATGCAAATACTAACAACTTTTTTCGAACAATAATTATTAGGATGTGTTGATGGAACTTTTTTTTTTACGTAAATGATGCAATTTCTGCTTTTTGAAGTTACTTACCTTATAGATTTATTTTCTATCAACAGTACATATGTGCAAGACGAGCTTCTTTTATACCCTGAAACCTGACTAAGAAAACTTTCTAATACTTAACTAACTCTATTTTGGAGAGTAGAGTAGAGTAATCTAGCAAATCTCTAGCGAGAAGTACATATTTACGTAGGCATATCCAAGATAGTTGTTATTAGACGAAAAAAATATGAAACAGAATTAAACATGCAGGAGTCTTTTCCTAACATCTCCACGAATGATTCATTTGCTGAAAAAAAAAAATTCTCTCTTTTATTACTATCGTTTATCTTTTTCTTCCTTCTTTCTAATTCCTTTGATCAATTGTATTTGAACTGTGTTATTGCCAAATTGGGAAGAGATGATTATCATATCATGTTTTTTCTCCACTTTTTTTTTTGTCATCGCAGGTGAGAATAAATGGAGATATGATCGCCTTTCTTATCTTTCTCCTTTTTTTTTGCACCTCGTCTAATTGCTCGTGTTTTTTTTGTTTTTAAATAAAGCTGTTATTAATGTTCGGCAAACAAAAATGAACTCTTCAAACAATAGACGAGCCAATAACAATTCTTCTCATTGAAAGGACATAATGTCTTCACAGCTGTGACTAATATTGTAATTTTTAACTGCATGATGTTATCTCTCTCTTTCTCTGTTTATCTATCCATTCTATTAAATAAACTAATTAATAGGAATCAATCCATTTTTCACACAACTAGATGTCTGCCGAAAAAAAAACCAATCAACATAATGCAATCATTTTACATTAAACCAAAAGCCTTACATTGATTATTAATAAAGATTTGTTATAATCTAAATCCATGTCTTATTGGAATTGCACCTGTTAATGAATTTTCTCATACATCTATGATCAATTAATTGATAATATTGTAATTGAAATATATATATTTAATTAATTTTTCATTTTAGAATAGTACATATGAAATTTTCTTACGAAAATATATTAAAAAAACTTATGTGGAAAAATTCGACTTATTCATTGTTAACACTTCACACGATTCTAGATCTATTCATTTGATGCTTAGTTCTGCAGTTAATTAATGAAATCTTTTGAGTGTCATGGTTCGATTGAAACAATATTAATACATTTCGGTAGTAGAGAAGCTGATTCATCCAGAAACAAGTAAAATTTTTATCAAGTTTAGACTACAATTAAGTTAAACAAACACTTCACCTGAATTCTTATCATGTTCCTTGAATATTTTTGTGTCTCATTCTGCTATAAATTATATCAATAAAACTAAGTCTGAAGAGAACATATCATATACATCCAATAATAAACGTAGTATATAAGGTAGAATGAATGATTTCTGACTTCAGAATTCGAGAAGTGAAGTACTTTTCGTACTCTTTTTGTTTTAGAATTTATTTGAACTTCTCTTATATAATTATACAATATATCTTGATTGTACTAGAAGAATGTTATAGTATGAAAGTATTATTTTATATTCTCATGTTGTTTTTCGACTTTATTTTGTTATTGCTTTCACATCCACAGTGGATGATAATCTCATCTACATTATAAGTTTCGTCTTTTTACATTAGTATGAGTACTGAGATATACAGTAAAGCCACACAAAATCTTAAAACAAAATATATCAATGACGTTGTTCTAAAAAAGTACATCTAACAATCATACAAAGTATTAGCAAAATTTAATTCTTATTTTTTTGTAGCATTTTGATTACAAGATCATTAATTAATCGATAATTATTTAGAAATGAGTTGATTTGGTAATAACTTCAAGACGACATACATGTCGATTGACGATACTAGCAGCATGTTTTAAGATAAGTAAAAATTCTTTTGTTCCTAATAGCAATGAGTTAGAATCGAAACTCATTATTGTATATGTTGAAGTACAAAAACATACGCAAATAGGAATAGATAAACTTTTTTGAAGTAAAACAAATATTTATCGTTCATAGAAAACTTTTTTCGATTCACATAAAGATCAATGAACACTACCATCTACTTTGAACATATAAAAAGTAGGAAGATTTGCAGGTATAGCTTCCAAGATAAGTCTCGATTATGTGTTTATTTGTTTAAAAGTTAGAGTTAGTGGCCATAATTATTGACAAACAATTCAACTTTTTGTATTGATTTTCCAGGAAAAAAAAAGCTTATAATAATCTATATTCAGTTACATCTTGTTCTTGCTTACAATTACTAAAGTGATTCGAAATTTCTCTCACTTATTCAAATTTATTTGTGTGTATGAAATAATCCACAATTACGTGCTACAAATTTTCAACAACTATATGATGATATAATATGCATATCATCGGAATTGTAAAATATCAAGGCATAAGTATGAATATATATCTTTTCACTAGCAAACAAAACTTCGATGAAAAAAAATTGTAAAGAATGATGAATTTAATGATTATAATTGATGGATCATTCTTGTTTTACATGATTAATGAAAGCAGTAGCACTTGCTCTGTATAATCGTTTGGATGAAACCTTGAGCAGAAAATGAATGTTTTTAAACCAAATGAAAGAAAGTCACTTTGCTATCTGATCAGATAATATATCATCGGTTGCGACCATTTCCTTTTTACACATATTCAAACATGTTTTTTCGATCACAAAACAGTTTGCTTGGCTTAGTGTCTAATGAATTCTCATTTCTTGAGTGTACGAAAAACAGAGGCGTACAATCGAAAGGAGACATTAAGTAAGTACGTAGTTTTTTTCTGTTAAGTATTAAGTTCAGTACATATTCTACTATAGGAACGAAAATTCTTATTATTTCCAAAAAAAATATGGATGCATCAATCATATCGACATCGTATATTGCAGTATTTGATGAAGATTGATGATACATTGAAGACATGTAAAGCTCAATCAACGTTACAAGCTTCCTATAGAGTAATATCACATCAATGTCATCGTTAAGTAAAGTTTCAGTTAACATCGAACTCATTTTGGTATCACATTCAATTGTAAAATAAATAATCTAACAGGAGAATTGACTAGTATTCTGTGCATTTTATCTAAAGAATATTTATTCATGTTAGTGCCAACGTGTTGAAAAACATCTTATAATTGCTTTCTAGTCTTTTGTCATTGATTCTCGAATTTAGATGTACGTTCTTGTCTCCCTATTGGTTATATAATTATTTCTATATTTAAGGTTTGTATATAAACCAAATCATTTGAAGTCCAAAAGTGTATGATGAATATTTCATATTTTTAAGTATTCTCGTCACTTGATTAAAAGTTAATGAAAAAAAAGTCCACAGATAGATCGAATAAAACAATATTCTGGTGTTATATCGTGTTTCACATTTTAACTCCGTAGAGATTGTGCTAACAGCTTTTTTAGGGTGAACCGAGATCTTCGTAGCTTTCACTGTGGCTCCCCCACTAGTATACGCTTCGTGAATAAAACTTCTATAGATTCATACAAAAAAAAAAATGCAACGTAAAATCTATGTTCGAAATGATTAGTCATTGAAGATTTTTCATACAAATTTACCGTCTTTCATCATAATTAGAGTGTTTTATATGTATAATTCATCGTTTTTAAAATTGTCAACTTTATTGATCTTGTGAAGCAAAAAGATAGGGCACCCCAAAAATGAAAAAAAGATCTACTGGAAATATAAAAGTAACTAAGACAAGTTTTTGCTCTTGTGATCGATTATTTTGAAAAATAGCTATAGTCTATTTAAGAGATTTTGTATTTTACGCATTTTATATCGGTTTATTAAAGCTAAAGAACATATATGAGTTCCAAATTTTAGCCCCAAAGAGACTGCGCAAAAAATTTTTTCTTCAGCTTCTGTTAAATGTATAGCCATCAAATCAAGTAAAGTATTTTATGATCAAAAACCTACCTATTTAGCAACGATAAACGGTAACCTTATACATCAACTATAAATTCTTTCAAGCTAATTCTCATCACCTACCACCTATCACTAACTGGTAACAGTAGCGGGAATATGACACTCCTAGTATAAATATGTTTTTTATTGACTCTTTTCGAAGAGATAAAATGCTGATTTTTATTATTCTTCATCAGCTTTAAATCAAAAAAGTCAAAAAAAAAAACAATATTTTAGTTGGTTACCCATTGTATTTTTCTTAAACTATACCTCGTGAAAATAGATAAGAAAACCATCGATTAACCGTGGCTAACTCTCGATTTTTATGAAAACCACCGGTTACTGGTATTTTGTTTCTAAACAGCTAGTTTTCATTGATTTTCGAAAACAGAAAGACGACATGGGATAATACTAAGCACTAAAATAATATTCTAGGGTTATTCGTTATCACTTTTTGGTTACATAAACTTACACAACTTTTGCTACTTATTCATGTTAAAACAAAAAACTAAGAATCTTAATGATTTCAAGAAAACATGATAGTCATATGCACTAACTAAACATAGTGTACTTAAATTAATCTTAGAGATAAATTTATATAGATGTTTTGAATTGCTTCAAAAAGACAAATAGTAACGAATGATTGTTGAATACAATAAGACTCGCTCAAAAAACGTGTACAAGTTCGTTTAAATCACAGTCAAGAATGATAAAACGTGTTAGTTTAGTGCTGAAAACGAGTGAAAACTTGTACATCTAGAAAAAATTCTTGTCTAACTGGTTGCTAACGACATCACTTACATCAATCAGAATTGTCCTTTTGTTTTGGTTCGTCTATGGTATCGTCCATTTATCGTTACTCTTCGCACGATGATTATTTATCTTTATGGTTTTTATCTTTGTTTCGTTTTTTATCGGACAACACTAATAATTGTTTCTCTCAATTATATTTCGTTCTGTAAAACACTGATCATTGTAGAAGAAATACTGTGTCATTTACAAAAATGAGCATTAACCCAGGGGCAACTTTTGGAATGGTCGGATCCTACAATACGAATAGTCGGGCTCAAATGGCTTCAATTGAGTCTTCGCTTCCTTTCATTCGAAAAGCCATTGAAGTGCTTGATGTTTCTTCTGCACCTGATCCTCTCATTATGGCTGATTTCGGTTCAGCCCATGGGCTGAACTCAACGTATGCTATGAAGAAGATTATCGAATATTTGCAAGAATCTAAGAAGGCCGAAGCTGGAAAACAAATACTTGTTATCCACAATGATTTACCTACTAATGACTGGAAATCCTTCTTTGAACTCTTAAACACAGATAATTCGTACTATAGTGTAGCCAACGGTCGATCTTTCTATGAATCATGTCTTCCGCCAAATTCTTTATCAATCGGTTATTCATCATATTCTATTCATTGGCTTTCTCGCAAACCGTGCAATATATCGAATCATTGTTCAGCTAGTTTTGCTCAAGGTAACGAACTCATAGCATATCAAGAGCAAGCTCGTCTTGATTACACTCAATTTATAAAACAACGTGCTCGTGAACTTAAAGTCGGGGGTGTATTTATTCTAACAAATTTCGGTGTTAACGAGCAAGGTTTCAATGGGCTTGAAAACAGCATGAATCTTCTCTACAAATGTGCTCAATCACTTAAATTTCTAACATCTCAGGAGCTCTTGGATTATTCGATTCCATTGTACAATCGTTCGTTCAATGAATGTGTTGACCTTGAATTATTTGATCAATGTTCATTGGCGTTGATTACATCAAGTCTCGTTGAAGTAAAATCGCCATACTACAAGCAATATTTCAGTGGAGAAATGTCTCTAGATGAGTTTTCACGAGCTCGTACTTGGGCCACACGAACATATACTGAATCGGCGCTACGCCAAGCTCTGGAAGCTAACGGTCGGTCGAAAGAAGATGTTGACAATGTATTGGCTCAGTTTTGGGCACTCTACGAGCAAGAAGTGAAAAAGAAACCAGATGACCATGATGTGACTTTGTTTAACACTTATCTTGTTTTGAAGAAAATATAATCAGAAAAAATAAAATAAAATAATCGATAGTGTCTCCATTACTTAGATTACTGATGTTGTTCAGAAAAGGAGCGAGCCTGTCTGAGTAGATAAAATACTCAAGTAATTGACAAAGTCGATTATTAGCATGAAATAACGGCTATAGAAGAGATTTAAGTACTGTTTATGACTAAATATGTATGTGTGCGTGTAATAAATCTTCTTTTATTCTATTATATACGGTCGAGCTCAAATAATGTATATTTTGAAAATCAAGTTCAATCTATATCCACGGCTGAATACCGTAAGAACAGTTCACCTTTGTTGGTAGTGTAGACAGTTTATGAGTAATTTCTTCTTCGAGAAGTTATCTGTACTTACAAGATCAAAATCCACAAGTCTTTTTGTACCATTGACTTCAAATCTCTTGATTTTAGATTGAATCTCATTTGATAAAAGAGTCAACATCTTACAGTGCTCAATTTTGAAGAACAAAATGGCATATAGCCATCTAGAAAAGCATGAATGTCATACACAATGAGACTGAATCATTTATGTTTGTCATCAAGATCACTTCTGATAAAATTTTGAACAAAAATGACATATTTTCCTAATATTTTTCAATCGCTTCGTACGTTTTTGAGAAAGAAAATTTGTCCTGAACTATGAAAATTGAAGAAAACATATTAATAAAAAGAACTATCCCTGGAGAAGTTTGGAGCAAAGTTTGTCTCAACAAGATCTCTGAATGAATGTGAAAGAAGAGATGATTAGCACTCACAATACACCAACTAACTAATTATCTTCATTAGCATAGTGATCAGTCGAAGCAAACTATGACGTGTTTTGATCGGTTTTTTTACCAGTTCAATGTATACATGATCGATTTTATTGATTTAAGAAACTAGCATATGGTAAAAGACAAAAAATAGGATATTATATATCTGTTCGTTTGCGTTTCGATTATTACGAGTTCCAAGAATCAGTTTCGTAGCCCTATTGAGTGTATTATTGAATGTTTGGTTCCATATATGATGTATATCTTTTTTGTAAGCTGCAAGTCTGTATTCGTGTGTAAAATGTAATATCAGACGTGTACTCCATTTGTTTTCGTTGATTAATTGAAATTTTATATGGATATCAGATTCTTCTTAATCACTTCCGTAATTTTCCAATTTATTGATTCTTGATTGTGTTTGTGTTTGTAGAGAAGTTGACTGATCAAGTAATCAAGATCTTATAGTGAACAATTGATTTTCTTTTTCTATCATCAATGGATTAGTTAGAGATGAGAATGATGTGTATCTTGCAAAGAATTCTTTGAATCAACAATAGATATATTTTAGTGAATAGCTAAAGAATGCAGAATAAATATTTGCATAGTTGAGATTAAAAACATTCAATGTTCGTCAATATCAGACGGCACGAATAAGTACACCTTCGATGATATTTTTGAAAACATGATGAGAATGATCCGATTTAAATGTTAATAGATATGGTTCAACTGATTTTCTTTGTGATAGACTGATATTATTAATATTTCATTCTTGTTTTCGATAAAAACATGATGAAATGGAAGGCTTTTACCGATTTGACGAACTAATTTAATATTTAGATGATAGTTATTGGCTTCATTTAACATATGATTCAATGTTTCGAGGGTGTGGATAAGGGTGAAAGAAGACTCATTTTTACGACCACACTCCACACCCTCAAGATCGAAATTTGAAATAGAAAAACACTAGAGACGTTTCGATATGTTCGTACTGAAATAGATTATAAATTTATTCTCAAATGTATCTGATGAATAAACTGATATTCAAAACGCTTTTACAGAAAGGTTCTCGAGAAACATCCGATGCGTTCTTTCAGAAAATGATTAGCGAATCCATAGAATGAGCACTACTTTGTATTTTATTGTTATTACTCTAACAAAAAGACACTTTTTTTTAACACGATTTTATAGTTTGCATAAAAATTAAGAATATTGTTGATTTTTCTTCGCATTGTTGAATTATACTGTATATCCACATAATGAACACCTTTGTTCTTGAAGTATAAGCAAACAAATAAGGCCGATGGGAAACAGGAAAATAGCACAGAGAATACCCAAGCAACTGACCTGCGATGTTAAAAAGCCTTGCTGAAATCGGAAAAAATGATATTTATATTTACATTTAAGTTAATATGTCATGTTTTATTTTAATAGTAAACTTACATGGCAGCTTGGACAATTACCAACCGTGTGATAGGTTATAATTGTTGGAGGTGGCGGCGGACAATAACCTGGATTTCCTTCATATTGTGGAGGAGGGCAATAACCATAATTAGGTTGACTAGGATACGACATTGTAATGTTTTTTCTCAAAAAAAATGGCGCCGCCGCTGTGGATATAACACTGATTGTAAATGTGCTAGAATATCATCGACATTATATATAAAAAACTTATGCTTATCTTCCAAAGAATAACTCATACAACGCGTCAACAAAAAGAAACTTACTGATATGGTGCAATGTTTAGACTATGTCATTTGACTCTTATCAAAAGTATACATCAGAAAAAGTGCATTACAATTATTATTTAAAAAAAAAAGAGAAAAGCATTATTATGTTGTTTTATTATCTAATCAGCGTCTCACTATTGTAGCATATCTTTTTTCTCTTCTGTTCTTTAGTTTTAATTTTGCAACTAGAATAGATTATAACAATCATTTGAAAGGTTACTTTTCTCATTTAAAATCAAATACGAAATTGCAAGAAGTAATACTTAGATACTGTAAAATAAAAATTTTCATTTAAATGTCTTATTAACGAATACTATTTCAATCTGCAGATGTTGTATAAATTCAAAATATTTTATATACATAATCAAAAGCATATGATTAGATTACCTCATAGCTTATAATAAACTTAAACATGAACAGCAAATGGCGATTAAATTAATTACATTGACAGATCTTTTATAGTTTTATTTTTTCATTTATTATTTGAGTCTTTTCAATTTTTTTTTCATCCCAGGTCAATATACTCTACTCGATCGTTTATATCTTTACTGAAGACATTTTGAGCGAGCTATTACGAAAGGTCTAGATATGTTCGGTTTAGTACATCACTAAATCTTTTATCGATCTCTAACCAGCCATATGAGTGTGACACAACATTGCAAATGAAGAAGAACAAAAATGAATACAGTTTTCATCAGAAATTATCGAGTGTTGACATTTTTTGAACGAATATTACAACTGAATACGATTTATCTCTCTTTTTTCATGCGTAACTTCATATTCAATTTAACTTTTTGTGGGACTCTCTATAAAATATAGTGAGTATAAACTCGAATTCAAAAATTTTCTGTTCTTTCTTCTTACGATTCGATGGTCTTTGAAAAATGACGGAGAAACTTAATTCCTACTGCATACATTTAATTTGCCTTTCGTATTCTCAGCCTAATTTACAAATGTGTACTTCCTTTTTATTGATGTACTTATCATATATGTATTATCCAACTCGCATTGACGTACATATTATTCATTTCTTTTTTCTGTTCATCAATCTGTCCTATGAAAACAAATGATTAATTGCTATTCTAATATGAAGATAATCTTAGTGTATTATGCCACTTTATAAAATCTACGTAAAACATACATATTCACTTTTTGTCAAAAAAGTATTTCATAACAGGCTTTTAATAATTTATCATTAGTTTTTAGTAATATTCTGTTTATTAATCATGAATACTGTACATGGTCATATGAAAGCAAATAACCATTATAACATGCTCTATCGATTTCGAAAGTGGCAAGTATATATATATTTTTTTTGTATTATTCTTCTTTTTCTGACTACACGAATTAATAAATCTGTACTCAGACATGGAATATTCATATCATCCACATATACACTATCGAACATTCTCACAACAAATGACTGATTATATTTTATTGATTTTCTTTCTGATTGTTACAAATTTATCCATAGTCAATAATGAAGTACTGGCAGCAACCTTTGATTCGCTTGGTCATATCTACACTCCAACGATTAAAAACAATTCTAATGGAATAGTCCATGCATTGATTGGTAAACGTTTAGTTTGTTTATTTTTAACGTTACTGTTATTCATCAATAAAATTTTAAGTAAGATTTAATCGATATATATATAATATTTGAATTGCTTGCTACTGTTTGTGCTTCGAAATATTCGCTCATCGCGAAATCTTTGAACGTATTAGAAACTTTTAACTTTCTTTTTAAGTGAATGAAATAAGCGAAAGGAATCTTCAATATGGTTAACGTTGTACTACAACTTATTCATTTATTACCGAATAATCCATTATGTTATTTAGAAATCTTTATCTCTTGTCAGAGAAATATTGGAATGATAGTTTAGTTAAAATTATTCACTTTTCATGTAGTAGCTAACAAAATGAATAATAGTAAGTTTTCATTTCAATCTGTAAGAAATATTTGAATAAATTTTTGACAGTGAATGTTATAATAAGCATTGTTTTATTTATCATATTTGTGGACTCACTATACCACCTATATGTAATTCTCCTCTCAATGCTGCCATTGATTGTACTAAAATGACATGCGCATGTTCCCGTTTCTGAAAAAAGTGTTTGAAATATAGAAATATAAATGTTTATTCTCCTTTAATTATTATGACCGCAAGGTAAATGAGCTGATTATGTTGTTTAGAGTATTGTATTGTTATGAAAAGTTCGATTTATTATCGATCTCAATGAATTTATTTGCAGTATAAACAATGAGTTGATAATCAACAGTATCGACTTTTTATTGTTAACTGATGAAGATGCAATTCTTCATTGCCCAGTCAGACAAAAATTTCGAAAAACGCGTTTAAACGCACAATCGGGAACCGCGACTATGATTCATTCACGCTCATTAAAAAAACGCACGAAAACGTGTTTATTGGCGTTTTTTGTACCTTTCTGGGCGTCAAAACGGCAGAAATTCCAGTTTTTGAGCGTTAAAACGCACTATTATTCTAGAACTTAAAAACAATACGTTTTAACGCTCAAAAGCTGGAATTTTCGTCGTTTTGACGCCCAAAAAGTTACAAAAAACGCCAATAAACGCGTTTTCGTGCGTTTTTTTAATGAGTGTGAATGGATCACAGTCGCGGTTCCCGATTGTGCGTTTAAACGCGTTTTCTCGAAATTTTTGTCTGACTGGGTGAGGGCTGAAAATATAATTATCTCATGTTAAACAATAGGTATGCTGAGAAAATGATGATACCATCTTAGAGGTAGGAAAGTTAACAGTAAGACTCATTTTTACGACAATAACTTTGGCAAATACATGCTCGAAAATAATATTTTATTTTTAAATATCAGTATTTTCTTCAGAATTCTCTAGGTAATTTTCCATTTTTCTCATAAATAATTTTTTCTTTTTCTGATGACGTCATTCGTAACAGAGACAGGTGACAGATTAGCGATGATCGATGACATTGAAAATGAAAACAAACGTATAATTTATTGAATTTGATCAACATAGATAAGTAGATGATAATCATGTAGTGTAGAACAAGCAAATTAAATTTTTTTTTAATCCGATGTGTTTGAATAAGAGTACTCAATTCAAAAATAACGTATTTTCAAAGTCATTGTCATGCTATTTGTGAAACGTCAATACCAATGTCTCCGATTGTGACTTTGAAGGCGGCTTTAGATAAGTCAAAGTCATCATGACGACATCAAACGTACTTTTAAGTAGCAAGATCTAATAACTAATACTAGCTGCATCGAATGTCACCATTCATACTTGCTGATAATTGTCACATAAAGCTGTATAAAATGTGTGATTTTCTGCATTGATAGTAATACAAAATTCAATTTGATAGATTAAAATGGTTTCAGTGCCATATTCGTGATGATTCGAAGAATTACTGTTTTTGTTATTTTGCTGAAGAGTCTGTTTCTTCATGTCTTTAATTTTCGTGACATTTTTTCATCATAGATATATGCAACATGATTGATTTTTCCTTGTTGACTATTTCTATCTAGATCCTCTTGAGTTGCTGCATTATACAGTTCTCGGAATTGCAAAAATTAGTTATGATATGTGTAAAAAAAAACAAGTTTAACTCTTCTAGTACTGTTGAAGAATATTGGTCACGATATAGCAAAAATTTCAAAAAGATTCGTGTCTATATCAAAACTGCAGCACACAGTCGATGTGAAAGTAAAAAGTTTATATTCTAAATGACACTCATCGAATCTATTGTATTCAAATGAAAAATTTTGACAGGTTTAATATTCTCACACAATGTAGTAGAATATCGAACTGACTTTTCATGCAAACGAAATTTCTAATATTTGAGATCTCATAGGTTTTTTTCCGAACTGTTAAAATTATTTGTTTGATTTGTAACATTTCATTGAAAAGTAAATATTTTTATTTATAAGACGCACATATTTAATTCGGTATTAAAAATGGAAAGTAATTCTTGAATAAGTTAATTAGTTTAGATAAAATGAAAGATAATAAATCTATGGAAATTGAAAATTGGTACTTGATTGTTCTCTCGTAAAAACCCAGCGCGAACAACAATTGATAAGACATGTAACAATAACAAATATATATATTACAATGATGGACCAGAATGCACAGAGGTAGACTGTACGTTCGCAATAAGTATTTGGATGCTCAATAGGTTCATCATGTTGGACGTAGGATTTTGCACGAAATACCCATACGTTGCCCTGTTAAACATCAGAAATTTTAAAGCAATTTTATCAACTATACTTACTGCAATAAACCATGCTAATTTGAAGGGTATAAGTAGTAGAAAAAAAGACGTAACGATAGCAATTGTGATTCCAATCATGGTGCATTGAATTTTAATTGTTTTTGAAGTGGTAATAACTGATTGCGTGAAAAAAACTGCATACTATCATATAAGGGAAAAAACTATAATGATGAAAAATTTTTTTCATTGAAGCTTTGTCTCTTACCAAAAATATTCCGAGCGCAATAAGAAAACTACCAATAGCACCTTGAACAATGAGATAGATCGGAATAAAATGATCCATCGAACAGTCGTTTCGATGAATAATCCCAATAACTAATTGAGTCATTGGTAAAACATAAATGAAACTTACTTGTATAATAAAGATTAAAAAATTAGCCGGACTACTAATACATCTAGGACAGATCGGCATTCGATCTACTCGCATAGCTGTTGAACTGTCGACTCTTACCACTGGAACGTTGCCGGCTATTTGTGGTATTCGATTTTCGAGCTCCATGTGTCTAAAAGTGATAGTCAATGGCAAAGGTATCTGCGTATATGTACAAAATTAAAGAACTAATTAGTGACATAT